AAATATTATGCATTTTAAAAATAACGTAATCATGCTATTGGCCGTGTGTGGTGGCTCACGCCTGTAATCCCAGCATTCTGGGAGACCAAGATGGGAGGACAGCTGGAGGCCAGGAGTTTAGGACCAGCCTGGGCAACACAGTGAGACCCCCATCTCTACAATAAATAAATAAATAAAAAAAAATAATAAGAAAAATTAGCTAGGCACGGTGGTGTGCACCTATAGTCCCAGCTACTTGGGAGGCTGAGGCAGGAGGATCGCTTGAGCCCAGGAATTTGAGGCCGCAGTGAGTTATGATCATGCCATTGTAGTCCAGCCTGGGCGACAGAGCAAGACCCTATCTCTTAAAAAAAAAAAAATTGAGAATTCCCAAAAATTGGGAATTACTATTTGTTTATTAATAATAAAAGCGCCTGTATCTACGTAGCCATTGTGTCCGCGAAGATACGAGAAAAAGCAGACACTTGAGATTCTCTGGGTAGTGCAGGATGCTATTCTGTTCCTCTGGAACAGAAGCTGCTAAACGGGCAACCCACATCTGGCTCCTGAAAGTGGTTTGCTCTGTACAACGTTTTAAACGAAAATGTCGAGGCCCCCATGCTGGAATTAGGAGATCCCACTTATATAAAAGTCCAGACTTTCGGGCTCGTTTGAAAAATGAGGTTTGGTTAACACCGGACCCCGATTTCCGCACGGCCTCAGCCGGGGCGGAACAGAGCCCGCCCGTTTCCGAGCACGTGCTGGTTTGCCGCAGTCCCCACCTCTCCCTATCGTCTCCCTGGGAAGACGATATTTCTCTTATGCTTAACCTTCTTTCGGCACCTAAAGGTGTCCTGTGAGTTTGTAGCCCCTGTGGCATCAATATCGCCGTCCTTAACATCAAGGGGACATGGAGGGGAGTCCCGGGATGCAGAACTGCAGGGAGCTTGGGAACCGTCTCGCTCGTCTCTCTACAGTTTGCACGTGGGGGACTCTGGCCCAGGGAGGCTGAGGCCGGTCTGCAGGGGCAGCAGTGGCGGGCGGGTCCCTCTGTCCCTCCCCCATCCCCCCCGTGGCTCTGAGGCCACGGCTGAGCCGACATGCGGTGACCCACTCCCCGGTTGTACCTCCGACCATTCTCCTGTGATCCAGACGAACTCGCAGGGTTGGGAGCCACAGCGCTCGCGCTCGGGGGGCCGCGTGGCCGGGTCGCAGTGGGAGCCGTGCACCTCACCCTCGTCCTGGTCCACGCACGCCACCTGGCGCAGCCGGGAGCCCTCGCCGCAGGTCTTGGAGCACTGGCGGGGACAGAACCACGGGAGAGCGACGCGTGAGTCGGTACCGCAATCGCCCGTTTCCCCGTCTACGCGGGCTTTAAGACGGCGAGATCCCCGAGGGCAGGATTGTCAAGAACTTATTTCAGGCCGGGCGCGGTGGCTCACGCCTGTCATCCTAGCACTCTGGGAGGCTGAGGCGGGAGGATGGCTGGAGGTCAGGAGTTCGAGGCCAGCCTGAGCAAGAGCGAGATCCCCGTCTCTACTAAAGATAGAAAGAAATTAATTGGACAACTAAAAATATATAGAAAAAAAAATTAGCCGGGCATGGTGGCGCATGCCTGTAGTTCCAGCTACTCGGGAGGCTGAGGCGGGAGGATCGCTTGAGGCCAGGAGTTGGAGGTTGCTGTGAGTGAGGCTCACACCACGGCACTCACTCTAGCTCGGGCAACAAAGCGAGACTCAATCTCAAAAAAAAAAAAAAAAAAAAAAAAAAAAAAAAGTTTCTATTTTCAATTTTAAATGAAGGGTTTGAGCTGGCAACGTGCTTTGCAATGATCTAGACCAGTGCTGTCTAATAGAAATATAATGTGAGCCATATTTTATTTAATATCCAGTATGTCTAAAATAATAATTCCCAAATGTAATCCATATACAAATTAAGTAAAGGGACATTTAA